GATTGTTGTTTAAAGATTACGTACCTTTCAGTTCTAATGTGTGCTACAGTGTAAGGTGCAAGGTGGCGTTGAAACGCGCTTTCATATACAACCGTCTAAGTTGACTTTGAAGGGGACATGAATTCAGTTTAGCTTTCTGTGGTTGGCCCGCTGTTGATCCCTGACATCGTCTAAATGCTGCATTAACGATTTTATCAAAACATAGTCACTGCCAGCCCAGCTCCTACTTCAATTCGGCCCCGTCCATACGTTTCGTTTAAAGACGCATACACTAGAGAAGTCAAGCTTCGGCTGAAACGCAAATTTATACCACGTGACCAAGTTTCCCCTTTGCTAGTCGTTTTACTGTTCATTATTTGTACAGATAAATTAGTAGCTTCACGCAATTTTTTTATCCATAAGAATTGTTTTGAATCGTTTTTATCTGCTGATTTTCTATTTCCAGAAATTATCAACTTGAATCTGACGTTTGTCGTACATGTGAAGCTTAAACTCTCCATTATGATGTTTTTAGGCCTTCTGTTCACACTAATACTCTGAGCTTTTTCATCGAAAACGCATCGATGTGAAAACGCTGTTGAAGATGGATCAAAACGAAAACGCATACATATCGTATTAGTCTGGACGATCGACAACGTTGACCGAAAATATCGCAGGCGCGTGTGTTTGAAGCATGCGCATAGAGTTCAACTGCGTCACAGCGTGAAATTCTGTCGTTTTCGTACATTTTAGTGTAGACACACGAAACGAAAACGAGTGCTTCTGAAAACGCATTAGGGTGGTTATGGCTTTAAACACAAGGTAGCCCAGCGCGGAGATCGAGGTGGCATGCCATAGGTTGGGGGATAGTTTGGGACCTGATCATGAGCCATCGCACAATACGAATTAAATTGAAACATATCCATTGATATTTCTCAAACCATCATGTTTATATTTATTATTAACATTTCTTTTGCATTCTTTCGCCGGTACAATTTTATAAATTAATAATAACAAGTTTTATCAGATAAGTATTAATCATTCGGACTGATTTTTTAAAAATACATTAAGAGTGTTACCACCTGACAATGGATCTGAAACATGTTTTGAAATCTTTGAAAACAACGTGATAGAATGTTGACAGTTCCTATTTTTTCGTTAGATCCACAGGATCGAGCGCTTACATATACTGGTACACGGGCAAAAGTCTCGGTTTCATATGTACCGGGAGGAGTGGGCCTCGGGTTTATATCGGTGGGAGAAGGGAACCTTTTCCCAAACCGTCCCCTTCTCCCTAAGTAGATTTGACGCACTCTTCCAGGAAGGCCGCCTGTAACGCAAAGTGCTCGATCTCAAAGATCTTACGGAAAAATAGCGGAAGATGTGTAACTGCGTGAAGACCAAGAATATTTCCGGAATTTCATTGTAAAGAGCCAATCAGGTTTGAGGAAACTAAACAATGGGCCTGGTCTGGTGGTCTGTTTGTGTGACTTGATCATCTTTGTGATTGGACGCGACAGCCTGCGAGGAAACTCTTCGGAGAGAGAGGTTAGGGATCGTTTTTTTCCCTACATCATCATGCCCCCGAGAGCTTGCTCTTAGGCTTGTCCAGACACGACTGGCGTCCTCGGTTATCTAAGTTGAAGTCGTTGAACATTAATAAGGATCTTGTAATTTCTTGGAAGTTGAAAAAAAAACATTCATCGGTGAAAATGTGGTTCTTAAGCTATAACAAAATAAGTAGGAATCAAGTAGTGCGGTATGAAGAATCCTGTAATCTGGTTGGCTAACGTAATCATTATCTGTTGGGTAACAGATAGTGAGTAACGCAATAATTTTTGTGACAAAGGCAAAACAATGGAAACTTCTTTAAAAATTGCTTTAGGTCTAAACATATGGAATGAATATTGACATGGTAAAAATCAACAAAACGAATTTATTCCTTTGTGGCAAACAAACGAAGATTTCGTGACTCGATTAAATTTTTGTCAACACTGGCTTGTTTTCAAAGGTTGTAAGTCAGCTGGTATGCATAAAAATTCGGACCTTTTATAACGCACGTACACTTCAGGTACAAGGGGACTTACTAAAAAATGCAAAAGAAACGTTATGTAGAAAACTAAGTTCTGTCATCAAAAAGTTATGAAACAGAAACAGAGGTAGCACTTGGATTCCCCAGTGAGGTACCTTAAAGAAACCTATGTCTGACAGTTTTCATTGAAATCTCTTTTAGATATCTCGACACGAGATGGTGACATAAAAGTGAATAAGAAAAACAATGACATAATACCCAGTCAAAAACTTATACCCCTTTTAAATAAATTTTTTTATATATAAATAACTAGGTTAAATTGTATCTTACAAGTACTATTAACTGTATTTTTTAGTTGTTTACATTCATTAATATGTTTACTTTTCACCTGGCTTGGTTTTTCAAAAGTTGGATTGCGCTATCGAATCCACTAAGTTAGTTAAGTAATAATAATAATAATAATAATAATAATAATAATAATTAAAGAAAACCAATCGACCTGTTTATCCACTGGATATAGTGATTTATCCGTGGAAAGCGTTATCAATTTTTTGAATAACTAGAGCCTAGTAAATAAACTTAGAAATACTCTAAAAATTTGTTACTGCTTCATGCTCATCGTTGATTTCCAGTTTAACTTGACTTATTTTCCAGGGTACACGAGCTAGAAGGTGAATGACTGTTTTAAAGCGATGACCTAACAAAGCTAGAAACTGCAAAGCAATTACTAATCCGTAGACTGTGAGGAAAGAAAGTCCAATAATGTCAACACCCAACACAGCCAAGTCTTTGTGCCTGACCAATGTGAGAATAATAATCATCCACAAGACGTTAGCAACGCCAAATAACATCAGAGTCTTGTTTCGTAGTTCCACAAGTCTGTCTTTCAGCTTTGAAGTGTCATCAAAAGCACTTAGTTCTGGAGCAAGACACCTCCGGCGTAGGCCTTCCCAGAAATCATATTCTCTACCTTCGTCGACGTTGTCTACATCCAGGAACTTCAATGGGAGGCGATCAATTTCGCGCCTAGTTTGCCGGACTTTCTTTTGCACTGAAATGATAATTAAAAAAAGTTCGCAGATGAGGCTAAGTATGATCGAATGTTGTTATCTTTGGGGTGGGTTTGGGGGGTAGTTGGGATGGCCAATTGACCGCTATAATTCAGGTTGATCTACTAGTTCTCTAAATTAAGAATGGAAGATCTCATGGTGTTGTATTCAAGCACCACGAATTCAAAGTGTTTTATGCCTTTCCTTGGAAATAGAAAAAAAAGAAAAAGAGAAGTAGGAAATCATGACGGCATAAGCTTTTTGGTCGAACGGGAATTTGAAACACGGGATTTTAGAGCTTCTGGGCGCCAGAGTTGAAAGTCTATAATTAACTCGATGAGACAAGTTATGGCTTCCGGATTGTATATATTCAACGCTCTACTAGCTCGGCCACACTGTCTACGTGCTTTGGTATGCAAATTTCACTAAACAGCTTTAATGATGAACTGTCAGTTTCCTGTAAACATCTCACCATTATTTCGTACTATTTCATACCTTCATGCGGATATTGCAATTTTTTGATCCCGACGACCAGTTTATTCAAATGTCCTCGTTTCCAAATGTGAAATGTTTCTTTAAGACTTTTCTTGTCCAACCCTTTCAAATCCTCCAAGTCACAAGGCTCTTTGTAACCGTTTGATTCAAATCGGGGCCAATATTGCTGAAGACCAAGATCCTCTAACCATTCTTCAACGTCATCCTGTACGAAAGAAAAATATCCATTGCAGCTTTAGAAAACGCTTCTTTCTGAAAAACTATAATTATAATTCTAAAAGTAAAATAAAACGGAAGAAAATTGTTTCGTTTTGATTGATTTCTTTGCACATTGATATTTGGTTGGAGATCATTGCAGAGCAGTTATAATAACAACCGTTACTACTAACGGGAGGTGTGGTGTAAATTGCAGAAAAAAAAAATTTTGAAGAAGACTGAAATTTATTCTAAACTATAGAGTTTGTTATACTAATATAGTTTATGGAAGATAGCAGTTTTTGTTGTCTTTGTTTATAACGTATAAGAAGCTTCTCGTTTATTTTTCGTCAATTTCGATTGTATCTCTTCGCCTGGCAAACAATAAGAGTATCAATAGAGTATTTTTTTCTGCAATTTTTAAGCAAACGGCGGCTAACTTTCTTGTGTCCCATGCCAGTTTTCTCACTGTCGTTCATGCTCAGTATCGTATACAAATTATTATTATTATTATTATTATTATTATTATTATTATCATCATCATTATCATTATTAGTATTGTCATTTTGCACACTATTACTTGGATTAGAACATTGCTTTCATTTGAGATTTTAAGGTTGGTACACACATGCGTAAGAGGTTCCAGGTCACCCTTCCACAAAATTCCACAAGGGGATTTCATTGATGACTGCAGCTTAAATGCTAGCCAAGCGTGTGTCCGCTAATTTTAGAAAAGTGATAATGGCGTGAGCTTGTAAATTAGTATTTTAGGATCTTTTTAATATATTTATTTCATCAAAATCTTAGTCTATGATAGTGGAATGTAAATTGGTCATATGACGACTGCCGCTTAAAAGCTAGCCAAGGGTGTGTCCACTAATTTTAGAAAGTTGATAATGGCGTGAGCTTGTAAATTAGTGTTTTAGGATAGTTTAATATTTTTATTTCATCAAAGTTTTAGTCTATGATAGTGGAATGTAAATTGGTCATATGTTAATAAAGATTGTATTATTATTATTATCATCATTATTATGATAATAACCCAAACCTTTTATTGATAACCAAGCTAAGTATAAAGTCCTATTTACAATTAATTTCACTTAAAAAACTATTCAGGCAAAGCACTATTTATATTATTCCTTTCAACTAAAAAAAAAGACACTTAATTTCGGTTGAAAAAATTATTCTATTCAAAATATATCACATATTCGGAAAAAATTCCATTAAAAAACGGTTCATTTCAACTAAACTAAATTATTAATTATTATTATTATTAATATTGTTATTATTATCAGCATCATCACTTACTGGAATGCCTTCCTCCACATCCACTCGTGGGATTTTCTTGATCTCCCTCAGCAGTCTAATTCGATGTCCCCTTGTCTTGATTCCAATGCTTTCGAGATCCTACCAGTAAAAGGAGTATAATTAACGTTTCCGCTGTTATTATTATTATTTTTTTGTGACACAGGGAACCTGAACGCTGTATTAGCCAGTAAAATATATAATCAGTTGTTGTTCCTAACTCCATAATAGTGAGTCTTTTTGGAAGGGATTTGAATCCGCTCAGAAATGATTTAACATTGCCGGTTTCAACAACTGATTATTTCATTAGGTAACTTAAAATACAGCGTTTGAGTTCCCGGTGTTTGTGACTCCTGATGCAAAAATCGGGTTCGAACGCGTAATATAAGGGTTAGCATGCTAAGAAGAACGGATAGACACGAATTAAACACAGTGCACTGAATCCTTCTGTTCATGGTAATCGGTAGCTAGCGAGCCCTCGACGAACTGTTTTGCCTAAATTAAAAGATTTGATACTACTTTTATGATTTCCGAGTAATTTTACAGACACCTCGGAAAGAGTTGGCCCCTACATGTCTTCCTTTACCCCCTTTATTTTACTTTGAATAACACGGATATTTAACAATTATTCCTCAAGCCCTGCTATTGACTCAGAGGCCATGAGGGCGAGAGGAATAATTGTTTTAGTAAAATCCAACTAGTAGTTCAAAAATATCGCGACAAAACAACTATCGGTAGCAAAATGCGATTCAACCGCCATTGTTTTGTTTTTCAAAGTCGGCGCTTTTCGCTACTAGTGGGCTATAACATATAGCCTAGTAGTAGCTCAACCAATCAGAACGCAGCATTGATAATAGACCACTAGTTGGATTTTACTAATAGGTCTTAGAGTATGTTAGTTGTAACTCTTTCTGCTCACTAACTACGGGTAACATTTAAGTTAAGCTTGTTGAGTAGGAATTGGATACGATATTATGTAACAGGGTCGAAAAAGCAAAGATAAATAAGTTTATTTAATGCTACAATAAGCATGTTGAGCTCTAAAATTTACCTGGTCTGATAATCCAAACAAGTCTCCCATGGTGTCGTATCCTTCGTCACGAAACATGACCGCGTAATTATTCTGAAGAAACACAGTGACGCAACATTGTGAGAACAGGCGTCGTTTTTAACTTGAGCCAGGGTAAAAGCAAAAATTAAGCTCTTTTAATAGAACTTACTCAAGCAAAAAAGGCGTTCCAGGTCTTAAGATTAATTTTTGAAGAGAAGGGGGAACGAGTACACTAAATCCCTGGAGAGAAACCCAACGGAGCGTTTTAAGAAGTGAACCCCAGCTTCCGACAAACTAGATTTTATGTGGAGTTGCCATAGGGATACAGTCCGGGATACCGCATACGTGGCTGGTGAATGTCGGATTCAGTTCACCAATGCGCGAGGTTTTGCATGATCTCTCCCAATTGACTTGTTAGTGAAATCCTTGCGCAAGAAAACAAAAAATAATTAAAAGCTAGTTGATTTTCACTTTACTTTTCTCTTCTTTAGCTTTAATATTGTCTCTGTCTTAAAGAGAATTGTATCGTTGTCGAAAGGGGTAGGGTATTGGTAGGAAGGGAAAACAGAGGGGGATAGCAAGTAGTGATGAAATATTTCGAAGAAATACCTCCGGTGAAATATCCAGAGGAGCAAGCCATTCCTCCACAGGTGTTTTGAGATTCGAATACGACATGTCGGTTTTGAGCACTGAGAGAGATTCCGTAGATCCGAAAGCTATGAAGTGTGGAAAACATAACAGTATAAGTAATGAGTACTAAATGTGATGCGTAAACATAATATACGTGGCCCATATTTATGTGCTGGTAGAATTTTGAACACAGAATTACCTCTCTCCCTGCGATTCAGGTTGAGATCGATTACTGAAGGTCGCCATCTTCATTTCATATGGAGAGAGAAATCTAGGTAGAATTTTACTAAACGGTTTTGAAACACTAGTAATTTTTGAATAATCTGCCACTTCGTGGTATTAGTTGAAAGCTTTTCGAGTCGGTACTCTTTCGGTTTAAATCGCCGTTGACGTCGTCACGGATCTTCAAATGAGTAATCTCAGTCTTTTGTAACATTTGCTTCATTAAAAAGAATCTTTCCGTTTGGGACATTAAGAGAATGTATGAAGTGATTCAGGAAGTGAAACGCTTTCGCAGGACTGTATAATTCAAGATTCCTTGGACCTTTACGATCTTACCAAGTGATTGGCGGGATAATCCATTTGGTGATTGTAAGTAAATCTCTGGTCGTCCACGGCGTCGGTTCTCTGATCTTTCCGTGGAACACATTTGTGTTCCATCTAAATCTCCCTCGTCTTCTAAGCCATTAACTGAACTCCCTTCTCCGTTATGCCTAGAGGAAAGGGTTAATGTTTCCACCTCGGTAGTAGCCTAGAAAAGGAAGTAATCCAAATTCAACTCAGTTGATCACGATTTTTACCTTTTCTTATATATGTTATTGTGTCTGGTGAATGTTCTCACTCAATCAGCTGGCCAGCAGCTCTGCAAATTTATTGGTGCAATCGAAAGGTTTTACATAAGAAAAAGCCTGTTAAACTCCCACATGACTGGTTTGGAACACTAACGCCGTTACATGATGGCCGTTTCATTGTTTTGGGGCATCACAATGGCGAACGTGAGTGTGAAAACGTTCTATAGCACCACTGGCTTCCTAAGTCTGGGCAGTGAATAATAAAAGTTATGCAGAGAAATCAAAAGTCCTGTACTTCAAAGAGTGAGTTGATTATTTCATCATTTCTTTTAGCTTCATTTTTGCCTCTGTTTATTTCAGAAAAGAGCAAATCATAGTAAATCCTGAAATAATGACCCAGTTTTCTACTTACTACAAGTGCATGTCTCGAGCTTCCAATAGCCAGATGAAGACGGAACTGACTGATTATAACAACGTTTTTAAAAGTTAAACTCTATCGCTGACGAAGAATCACTTGATGATCTAACTTTCGATTAGAATTCAAAGTCGCCATGAGAAAAAGATGACTGAGCGCAAAAAAAAAAATTAGCCGAGTTTAAAAGATAATTAAAAATGATTCACCCTGACATCTACAAAATGACATATTTCAAATACCTCCTCTGAAGAATCCTGGTTGTAACTGTTCAGCCAGGCTTTTAACATCGGAGGGGTCATCGGAGAGTGTTTTCCGCGTTTGGGCCTGAAGAGGGTAGAATCGCGAGATCCGCCTACTTTAAGGTTAAAATGTGAGGGGAGAAAAGAAAAGAAAAAGCAGCCATTTAAATGTGATATGCAAAACATGAGATACTTTGTCCACATATTGTCCTAGCAACAATAAATTATGCTCTTAGCAACGCTGAATGACCTATGATTGAAGCCATCGTACCACACAAACATAAACGAAATGAACCAGTCGTTCCCAATAGATCATTTACAATCCCTTATTTTCTCTGATTTGTTGTTGTTGCTGTTGATAAATCACCGAGATACATTTCTACAGAAGTCGGAATCTTAGTTCAAAGTAATTTGCGCTTGTTAAAAATCAATCCGTTATCGTAATCATAAAAACCAAGCGTTTCCGTCGTTAATGTACTTTTAAGTGAATTTCATTCTTTGAAAGTTGATTCCGTTTGTCGATTCATTAATCCCTTCATAAAATTGAAAAATCCAATATTTAAACTGAGCCTAGATTCAATATTGGATTAATGAAGCAAAGCGTCGACATATTATATGGAGGCCAAGGCGAAGCATGACAAATGTAACGCTTGGCCGGCTTTGACTATAAATGATCGTCTCTGTTTGGCTTTCTGAAGTAAAGAATATCGACATGATAAGTATTTCAGTGGCCCTCGTGGTCTTACCTGACTGAGATGATGATTCATATGGCTCAGTAAACCCGCCTAACACAGGCTGTAAATTTATTTCTTGTGGACGATCAGGGTTTTCTGATGTTTCAGGAATACACTCTTGCTTTCCTTCATAAACTGGATTTTCTTCTAATCCATTACTGGAATCCTCAACGGATTCAATTATCTCTTCTTCGTTTTGTCTTGCTGTGAGACCAGATGTACTTCTTTCCACCTCGACTCGTGTTGCACTAACATGCATTTCTTCTTTGTAACGGGTTTGGCCCAATGGATGTTCAGACTCCTAGAGTGTTGTATAAGGAAAAAATGTTTGATTAAGTTCTTATAGTAAACTGACGCACTGCCTATGTTCAGAACATTACTGAAAAAAAAAATACTGATGTCTAAATGTTATTTTACACCTCGTAAATTAGAATTCACTGTCAAATGAAGGATTAAGTGAAAAACACTATAGCCATGACGAATGTCAAGGTTATGGTATAATATTATCAATCAGGTATTGTTTACCTCATTTCGTGCAATTTCGTCGACGTTAACTTGACAAGCCACGTCTTTCGTTTCTACTTTTGGTGGTTCTATGGCTTGTGTAGGAGGCTGTTGAAGCTGGGCTGGCCTACAGCACTTGCAGACAACAATTTCCTTCAGTGTTTCCCCAATGGGAGTCAGCCAGTCACCTCCGCCTTCTGAGGCAGTTTTCCCCTCCCTTGTTCCTTAAACGAGAAAAAGAAACAAAAAGAAAATTGAATATAGGTGGCTATTGCGGGTCCAAGCCGGGGTCGTTAAACAAGAGGCCAAACACACAAGTTGTTATAGTGAATATTTCTAGTTGTTAAGATAACAAACGTTTTAAGCGAAGCTCCTCTGGCCATTTTTTTAATTTTACTCCTCTCGGCAACATTATTAATCCGATTTAGTTTCATACTATTGTATCATTTTAAAAAAGAAATGGTTTTCTGGTTCGCTTAAAAAAGAGGGAAACTCCTCAGTAAGATGAGCTATCCCTTAGTGTTTTGGAAAAGCAATTTAATGAAGGTTTATGTGTTTAATGAAGGTTTATGTGTTGCCATCATTGTTTTTGAATAGGGTGTCACTTTTTCCGGTTCGAGTAGGGTAAATAGGGTATATAAACTTTCATTTGTCTCATCCTTAAGTATGGTCAGGGTTAACGAAACTGGACCGCACGCAACTACCCCAATTTTATGGGAGTAACCCCTCCGCCGGGGGACAAAGCCAGTGTCATCTTACATCCCCAGGGTTTGGCTACAGCGGAAGAAAGCACTGAGTATGATTAGTCCTTTAAAACTTACCCCAAGATCTGTCTGTTAGATTGCATAAAGAAAAAATGGTCAGAAGTAGATAACCAGATGGCAAACAAAGGAGATACCAAACACCATGTAGCAGACACATGAATTCTTTCGGATGCAACAGGGCTGCGGCAAAAAAGATCCCGGATAATCCAGCCAAGTATAACGTGCTTATTCCTGCGGGAAGGTGATGTTCCAGAGGTTTCGGCGCAGGAGTGATGGTCTCGTTTGGTTTAGTCGTGGGCGCGGCAGTAGGCTCAATGTCCCGTTCGCTTAATTCTCTTGAGATTTGAACAGCTACACCAACAGAAACAATACACATGATCACAGAAAACACGAATGTGAGTAGCTTTGAAACCTTCAGCTGGAAGCTTTGTGTGGCGAAGAGACATACTATGGTGTAAGCAAGAACCACCAGGCAGAGAAGTATGATTACGGTTATTTCACTCAACCCAATCCCCGCATACACCATTCCACCAACTATAACCAGAAGTACTGTAGACGGCCTGAATGGGAGGAGAAAAAATGATTAAAAAAGGAGAATGTCAGTTTTTACTAAAACAAAGTGTTCAGTTGGCAAAGGGTTTTCTAACAGTCTGAATGGCTGTCTTTCTTTCTTTTTTTTTCTTTTTTTCTTTTTCTTTTTTTACTGCATTGGGTAAAAAGTATCATTATTTTTTATATTCACTCAATAAATTGATCTAGATTTACGAGGAATGTCAAAGAGCAGCAAGGGGCAGGGAAATAATTAACAGTTATTCCTCGAACCTGAATGGGCTCTGAGTCAATAGCGCATGAGACCGAAGCCCAAAAACCCTAAACTTAAAACTTTTCAGGGGTTCAAACCCCCATATCCCCCTCCTAACTAACGTTTCTTCCCGTGCGTACACTTTCAAAATCTCATGCTACGCCTCTGAATAGGTATAAGCATAATATCCGTAAATCTTCCGCCTCTACAAGGCGAGGACATTAATTGGACCACAATAAAATTTGCTGCTGATACTTGGAACGCTTTGGACGTTTTTTAAGGCAGGCACCCTCCTTAGCAGCTTTTAAGCGCAGCTTATCAAAAGCTAAATTTTAATTCACACTTTTATCCTGTATAATAGAGCACTTTATATTATTAATTATACTATTAAGGCTCTATTTTTTTATACTAGTAACGTAAATTATTTTCAGCTTATGGTTTAGTCTTTAAAGAGTTCCCTCTGTAAACCACTAATAATAATAATAATAATAATAATGATAATTATTATTATTATTATTATTATTAATAATTAATAATTATAAATAATAATTATAATTAATAATTAATAATATTATTATTAATAATTAATAATTTAATTATTAATTATTAATAATTAATAATTATCATTATAATTATCAATAATAATAATTATCATTATTATTATTATTATTATTATTATTAGGCTCATGACTGTCCTCTGTACGTACTTACCCAATAACAGTGGAACAGACAAGAAATGTTTGGTAAACAATGAACAAGAAGGAGATGTGTTCATTAGTCTTTAGTGTCAGCTTCCACTCACGCACAAGCAGAACCAGGTTGGCTAACGAGGAAGGAGCCCATCTACGCCTTTGTTTGTAAAATTCTTCGAAGCTTTCAGGGCAGTAGGTGCTGTCAACTGCGGCGGCGCAGTATGTGAGGCGCCAGCCCTTCTGTAACATCAGCGTACACATCCAGCGGTCTTCCCCTGAAAAAAGTGATACATTGTAGAGCAAGAGCACTTAATGAAAAACTTTAAGATGGCTGTTATACTTTTCGTACAATAGAGATTCTACCTGAATAAGAGATGCTTCCCTTCCAACCGAAAGTTTTTCCGCGTTTCTTAAAGACAGTTTTCTTTAACATTTTTGGCCAACCGTTTATTTTGAAGCCCCACGTAAGGTAGGATATTTTTTACTTATCTGCTGGCTCCACCATTTGCAACTATCTGAAGGAAAAACTAACCAGAGCCCGAAGGATTGGTAATTATCACGCTGGATTGACTGAATCATTATGAAGAGAGCCAATTATCGCCAGAATAGACTTTGCAAATCACAGACAACAAGGAGAATATGATTTTTGGTATTGCAATATGTTCGTTTCACGTACGTAAATGATTCAGCTACACTCTATGTAGAATTCTTTGTTTTGTAAATGCCAAAGAAAAGAAATAAAAAAGATATTTAATTTTGCTTTATGACTTATTTGCTTTTCCTAAAACAAGATAACATTTTCCGTTTATTGGTTTTAGAAAAGATGTCACTTTCAATTCTATTTCCCTTGAACAGTGTCAGGGCTTAAGATCATTTACGGCTCAAACACCTTGCCCCCAGGGGTTCATACGTACTTAACCAACTAAGAGGAAAGTGCTGAGAGGCTCAAACAGTCATGAAATCACTTGGTTAGCGGCCATATGACTTATGACTTACCCATATCTTTGGTGAGAAAGTCAAAAGCATGGTCTACTTTTGTAGCGTAAGTCGGCAGAACGTCCCTAACAGCTTGGCAACGGTACAGACTAAAACAACCAGGGCTACACAGCACTGAACCAAACATGTGATTTGCTACCTGAAAAACGATACATCAACCACAAAGGAAGTCTGTGAATATTAATATACCGTGAACTCTCTCTTAAACGCCACGTCCGTCCTTATGTAAGGTAATCCAGTCTTGGAATCTGGATTCCGGCCGCGTTCTGAATTCCGTATTCCAGGTACTGGATTCCAGATTCCTTTTCAGTAGAACTTGGGTCTGGATTCCAATTGTTAATGGGATTCCGGATTCCTTAAGCTGAATTTCGGGTTCCAAACTCCAGGATTCCAGATTCCACAAGAAAAAAATTTCACAGATTCTGGAATCCGGATTACCTTACACGGGGCTCCCCTAAGCCAACATTTTACCCTAAGTAAGAAGTAAGTGTTAATGTTGGCTTAGGGGAGGGGTAGGTGGGCAGTTTCCCACCAAGGTTTCGAAAAGTGATGGGGCTCTTCAGTTATGACACTACTTGTACTTATACAAAAAGAATAACTACAACTGATGGTGGAATTTAAAAAATATTAAATCAATAGTTCGTGAATTCTATGACGGTTAACGTGACTTAATTCTCCTGTAAGTCCAATCTAATGATATACATACCTTTTGAAACCAATGACCAATGGCGTAGTCGAAGATCTGGTACCAAACTATAGGCCCGCTTCCCAATGGATGTGTACGAGCACAAACTGCTCCAACCCCGGGATCTTCAATAATCTGGTCTATTAACGCTTCAACAGAGTCATGGGTGAACTTGACGTCAGCATCGGTGGTAAGAATATAGCATTGATCGTCGCGCACTGAAAAGTTACGTTTTTAATCAATAAATCAATGCATAGATCCAAGAGGAAGTGATAGGATGATTCTTAAAAATTAACAGTAAGATAGAGATTTCATCTCTTTTTTTGTACACCATTTTTCGGATGTTTTAAACAATGTCCTCTTTCTAGCAGTTTCTTATTAAGTTTGAAACTAAAATGTTAGCAATACCGGCTGAATTAAAATTGTCAAAGTTGCCGAGTCAGTTATTTGAAATAATACCAGTTATACTTATCGAAACCTTATGAAAACCTTTACACAACCTTAGACCGAGTCGGACAGCTACATTGTGCTTCTGGAAAGATGCGTTTAGTTCAGGGTTTTTTTTTTGTTGTTGTTGCGTTTAGTTCAGTGTTACCTTTCCCCTAAGCCATCATTTTGCCCTCAGTGAGAAGTAAGTGTTAATGTTGGGTTAGGAGAGGGGTAGGTGGGTAGTTTCCCAGAGACGTAAAATGATCCACCAAGGTTTCGAAAAGTGATGGGACTCCTTAATTATGATACTAGTTGAATTTATACAAAAAGAACAACTGCAATAACTGATGGTGAAATTTCAAAATATTAAATCGCCTCATGTAAGGGAATCCGGATTCCGAAATCCGGGAAATTTGGGCTTGTGGAATCCGAAATGCTGGGATTTGGAATCCGGAATACAGCTCACAGAATCCGGAATCCAAGTTCCCATGACGAAAAATCTGGAATCCAGTACCCGGAATACAGAATCCAAGGAATGGGATCCAGAATTCAAGACTGTCGTAGAGCCCTTACATGGGGCGATACTTTGTTGTGTTACACTTCTCACCTTTAAGACGATTCTGTTGGTAATCCAACACATAGGACATATACATGACCTGACTCCATCGCTTTTTATTCTTTACCTGCAAAGATATGAATTCCATAAGATACTTAGAAGAAATGGGCATTCTTGAAGCTGAGTGAGCTAGCTATTTCAATAGATCCATCCGCAGTGTCCCTTTATACTGAACCTTTCTTAAAATATTCCAGGCTTACTTTAGTATTGTCTTTCAGGTGAATCGTGAATTCCATTCCTCCAGGCAGTTTCCATTTGAGCTGTATACCATATGGGGTCATTACTTTGTAGCAGGAACGTAGTTGTACTTTCAATGTTTCTTCCACCAGTGAAGCCAACTGCAACGCATAATCAGTGAGGACGTCTCCTCTGACTCCTCCATCAAAGAAAACGTGGGATTCATAATGGCGTTTAGCTTTTGTTTTGTTCTTGTCCATCTCATGAATCGATTCAAGGAGTTGCTTCATTTCATAGTCTGCTTCGTGGTACATCGTAGTGCAGATGAACACAGTCACGTTACGTGAGAGATTCCGTTGTATCACGTCTTCCTCATCAGATGCTCGGCTACGCCTGTTCATCAATAGATACTGTTCAAGGTAGACACCTATACATAAACCATACAATGCATACTAAGTTATCATTATCAACAGGAATATCAAGAGATAAAATATCAGCATTTTGCTTAGTTCTTTCAAGAGGTAGTGATCATGACCTTTCTCAATACTAAGTGAGCGCATGAACCAGCGTCATTTTGGCGGGAAAACGTGAATTTGAGTGAGAACGTCGTACATCCTCGTTTGCGGGGGAATTTTTATTATTTCGCTATCTGGAGTAGGCTTAACCTCCTTCGATAAAAACAACCAGGTTAACATTTTTGGTGAAAAAAGTAATATGATAATGATTAAAATCTAGTCTTCGTAGTCGATCGGACATTACACAAAGTCATCAGAAAGAAAGTGAAACAGCATCAAAAATGTAAGGTGCCCTCAGAACTAGGAAGTCCTCAGCTAAGTACAGTGAAACCTCTATTAAGCAGACACCTGCTTCTGGACCTTCCAAGTGTTTGCCTAATTATGGTTTATAAAAATTGCGCAATGTTTGTTAACGATTAACGTTCAACAGTTACCTCTGTACTGTGATAAAATTCCATGTTGTTAAGGAAGTATTTATATTTCGAGCATCCTGGCTACAGAACTTACCATTATACGATGGTATCCAAAAAAGATCGTGGGCGCTTGCCATAATAAAGCCGCGACTTTTCCATAGGTAGTACGTAGTGACCATGAACTGTGCCAGCCATAGAGGCAGCCCGCCACCTGCTAGAGTGTAAAGTTGGTTATCCGATCTACACGATAACGGAATCATGTTCGTATCGCAAAACCCTGCGACGTTTGTAATGAAAATGGCGATGGGCGTGGCTAGGGTCAAGGGAAGGGCGTATCCAGTCTGCTGCATACGGAGTGAACAGGCGAGCCAACCAAGATGGTAGGCAAAGAAGCTGGAAAAGATGTGCAGCATAAAGTACACAAACGACGAATTTGACGAACTAAATGCTCTAAAACCTTCGGACATGCCGCCCAGCTCTACGATGTTGCAAATTTTGGCAAACACTAAGGCAACAAAAGGTGTTAGAAAGAGTTTCCATAAAGAAATGACAATAGCAGCTTTTCCACGGGCTGTAATTTTGGCCGCATTCGCCACATCCTCACTCGCATTCTCGTCGTCACTTTGACTGGAGTCCTGGTTATTGGTTTCTATTTGCAGTTTCCGCAGTTTAGGAGACCAGACGATGGAAAGAACAAGAAGGGCAATAATCGCATAAGGTATCTGAAAGAACAACGATTTCCAAGTTAAGCCTGCACGACATGAGAATTTAAATTAAAAAAAAAAAGGGAAAATGGTCACAAGCTTTCGAAGCTTCAGTTTCTGAGATCCTTTGTAGTATCCTCTTATTTAGTTATTTCCCTGAATGTCCCAGCATTCTCTTTTGTTTTAGGGTTAGGTTCCATGGTTAATCCTGTTCGTTGTTCTCTTAACCAATCCTGTGAGGCCTTGTTACATCTGGGACGCGCCTCATCCTTTAGGTAGAAAAGCTTTCGATATCCCAGAAATAGTTGCGCCTAAAGTATGTACCCGCCCATTCCTTCCGACTTAATAGGAGAATTACAATTTAACGATGATAGATGGGTCAACGTACTTGGGAGAATGGTTACTCCTTATAACGGCCTATGCGGGGAGACTCAGTCCGAAAGGGATACTTTTGCCTGGCGTATGAAAGGGTAGGGACTTCCCTGTTAGATCTCGTTTACGTACATACACTGTTTAAAGGTAGCCATTAAAACTCCTGAAGGAGGATTACTCCCCTTACAGATAACCCACCCAGCCCACGAAGGTTGGCCACACCACCAGGGTCTACATTCCTTACTCTTTTCGAACAGTGATGTAGGTTCTTTTACGTCCCACAAGAACCAGATAAGTGAAAGTGCTGTGAGATGGGACCAACAGTTTTTCGTCCTTATCCGAGAAGACTAGAAAGTCTACTACCAATTGTAGCTGTCATTACAAAGGTAGCACTTTCTTCTTAGTTATTTAAAGACCCGGAATGTTGGTCCTCCCGGGGTTTGAACCCACGACCTCCCGCTCAGCACAGACTGGCGTTCTCCCAGCTGAGCTAACCATGCGGCGGTAGATACGAAAGGGTTGGGAAATCTGTCCGTGACGGTCGGTAAAATAGGCCCAAGGGTTAAAAGACACATTTTTTGGTTGAGAAAACGCATTGATTTTGTGATCAGGGCCTCAGGGCCGTACAAAACTTTGTTGAGTACTCCCCGGGACTTGCTGTCAATGCTGCACCCTTCTTGACTTCAATTATCCCTTGTAATCTCTGAATTTTATTTTGAATATAAATTCTAAACTTTATAAAGAAGGCTTAGCAAAATTTTTAGTAGAGTTTTCTTGTTTACCTCGTACTTGTAACACAAAAATGAAACACCAGCTGCCCCAAACACCGCACTAATTCCGAACCGAATGACTTCCAATTTTCCAGTCTTCGTGTTCCACTGTGATCTTGATTTGATGAAGTGCCACAATGTGAAGCCCAGAGGCAAACTGCATGGCAGCAAAATCATGACGTCTGAGTTGAGTAATTTTACTTTTAGCATTACAACAATGGTGATATAACTAAGAGAAACGGTCTCCAGGAAGCCACCAATAAATATCTGAAAAAGAAATAAGGACTTGAATTTTGTCAAAGCCGTGAAACTAGTCAAATTAATGGACCTATAAAGCCCAGTGAAAAGGCCTTTTGGCCAACAACTCCCAAAATATTTGGATGCTAAATTTTGAGTCCATTTGCACACACTGTTGCATGTTGTTGCGTGTTGTCGGGTGTTGCTGCACAAAGTTTGAAACTGGTCAAACTTTTTAACCAAAAACTGCCAAAAGTTCTTTTGTTCCGTGATCGGCCGAAGAGTAGTGCAACAATATTGCATCCATTTGCACACCTCTTCTGACATTTTTGGGGCCACGCTCGCGCATTGCACATTGGTCTCCTTGGCCCAAGGAGATGATAAAAGTTTATAAAGTATTATGGGTTGTATCGTTTCCTCAACGCACTGCCTGTCCCAATATTGAGTTGGGAATTGTCGCATTCGTTTCATTCTTGCATACCACTGCCAACACGGACGCAACAATTCCAAACATTGTTGGTTAAACACAAATGGTTAGCGTTAGAGGGCGTGAGCTGAATGAAACGAAAAATGCCAGAAACAAACCCGGATTTGAAATGAATTTTTCTATAGCATATCTTGTGTTGGAGAAAAGACACAAGTCCCTGACAGACGCCTCCAAAGTTCGGTTCAGCTGTAAAGATAGTTATGTTTTAACTTTATGACTGAGCAAATGAGATGACGCACGAAATCTCTCACATAGCCAGTTACTGACCTGTTTATCCAACCTTGTTAAGTTTAGGGAAGAGGAACTATTTGAGAGAGACCGTAAGAAGATGCACGTTTGTGGTCTATTGTCACGCCTCTGAGAAACCTACGCTAAAGGAGCTGCATCATAAAATTTACCAAAATTTAAACAGTGGAAACTGCCACCAAATAGAGTGGAATATGAAAATTACCGCTCAAAACGTAAACACAAAAGGAGACACGGATGCACAAACTTGAAAAAGATTTAAAAGGATTGCAATTGAGGTTTTGGAAAACTTATATGACGGAACAGTTTTTCAAAGTTCTTTTTTGCTGCTTGAAGCGTTTGATACGACGCTTAGGGGACACATTTGTTTGTAACGAAGCTGGGATTTGTCTCAAGTTTCTTAGCGAATAAGGACGTCAGTAATTCATATAAACCAACTGAACTAGCCAGCCATGACACACCGGCCTTTAAAACGAATCTCATTAAACATGTCATGCTAGACTGGTGCTACTCGAAGTACGACATTCAGCCCTATTTCATGCCTTACTACTTCTTTTATCTCGGGTACTATCAATGATTAAGGGTCTAAAAGCAACGTACCATGCAAATAATCGATTCCCCTTAACGGTAATCAATTTGTAATATATATTGCCGAATTCTAATAAACTGTTATTAATTTAGAAGTAATAAGAAACTAGTAATTTAGAGAGAGTAGCGAAACGTATAATTACTCTGACCACCATCGTTGCTCTCTGAAAGCACTTATTTCGACGGCAATAACATGAGTATTTCGTTGTAAAGATTTTACATCGCCAGGATTTTAGACAACAGCAAGCCTTAGCATATTTTAAGTTTTCCGTGTAATACTGAACATTTACAGACGCGGTCACCTTCAAACTCGTTCTAGACTTCCTAAGCAAGACTGGCCGGGGTCTTTTCCGAAATACTGAACTTTCTAGTTTGCTGAGTTATTTCAACGTGTCGTAAAGACTCATATATTATGACGCCTAAATGGTTTCAGAGGAGACCCGCGCGAGGTTCTATTGGTAAAACAAAGTATGTTAGAAATGTTGGAGAATGTACCATCATTTTTATATAAAGACACTTATATTGAGATCATTACATGCATCCTGTCACGCGGAATTCAAAATGAAGCTTCTTTCCTCATACTAGTAACTCCAAAAGAATTCTCAAAGATAATGTTCAAATAGAAACAGGGATTGTCCGTTTTCAGTAATTTTTGTACTGCAACTACAAAATTTGAACTCAGCGAAAGATGGCTAAGTTCCAGTCTATCTCCCTTTTGGTAAATTGAAGTCCAAGATAGATAAGAGTAAATTTGTTTTAAACAATGACCAAACGTTTATTCTTCGAGTTCTCTTTAACTCATGTAAATTTTAAGAGTTCTGAATCGCCGAAAATAACTGAAAGATTCATCCTGCGGCGAGCATTTACGCTCTCCTTTAGGAGATCGACTCCGGCGCCACTGAACCGCGAACAAATAAAGAACTTGTTTTTATGCTAAGACCAAATCGTGACATAGCTACAATGTGCTTAAAGTATCATTAAACAACAGACCAATATTGATTAAGTCGTGACTCCCACTACACAAGTGATCCCATATAACTCCTGCCTACTAAACAGGTACCTTTTTGGATAAAGATTGACTGACTTGTTCAATGATAACAAAATCAAAGGGATATTGTACCGTCGGGGTGGTGGAATTTGTTTTGTAATTTTTCGATTACTCCATTCTAGACCCAAATAATGAAATAAAAGTTTTAGAAATGAAATAGGTGTTTCCCGCAGGCTAGAAATCGAAGGAAAAATATGAGAACAACAATTTCGGAATAACTGCACTTACGCGGCTAAACATTTGAAACTAGAAAAAAAAAAGGATTGTAACAATCCTTCTCTATCTTTTTCAATTTTGTCTATCTATGCTTTCATTTGAAATTAACTGCACTCTAGTTTAAGTTCCTTCCCTTTGTTTAAGGTGATATTACACAGTACGATTCGCAACAACGATTTTTAGGGCAACACAGCGTTGCAATGTTGGAACGATGTTGTAGCTATTCAAAAACAATGTCGCAACAATGTAGCAACGCTTTGTGCTAAAAATCGTTGTTGCGAATCCGAGTCGTGTATACCTTGAGGCCCTTATTCCGGCAGTATACTTTTCGCTTATTGTTAAGGTATAGTGAAATTGGTTTTCAGTGCGTGACACAGCACCTTTTCGGCAATAATTACGATGGGGTTTTGAGAGTTTTTACAAAGCCATGGTAATACATTCATTACTCGCTCAATCAGGAGGAAGTGAATTCATTGATGTGTGTTACCGCATGCGAATATCATGTAAAATAGCAAGGAACAAAAAGCTTGAAACAAAGACAAAAATATTTTAAAAAGATGTAAATACCACGTTGAGATGGTATGCACGTACAAACTCATGATTGTCTTCAATCAATCATACCCGGCATTAAGATGTTAGATTCACGGTTAGTAATGTTTCAGACGGTTGGTTATTGTTATTAAACTGATTTGCAGTAGTTTTGAGCCTGATCTTTCAACCGATTTTCATTGTCCGCCAGCAATTCAGTAGCTTTCCGAATTCTTTTGTTGCTATTAACTTCCTTGTGCATCAACTGTAAAAAACAGCTTTTCAACCAATTTCGTCGAAAAAAATCAAATCTTTTCCGGCTACCAATAGTTGCTTTGACTGGGCTAATATGAATTTTCTTAAAAATCTGATCCTTTCTTTTGATTAATTTCCCGTCTTAATTTGGGCATTAGCTAGTAAACTGAATATGTCAAATATATAACAAAATGTATTGGGTAAATCCTGTATCCTTTGACGTTTATTGAGGTTCGCTAAAACGAAGCAAAAAATCAACCACAATTTTCCTCCTCTTTTCAACCAATATAATCAGAATGTGGTAACCGAACAAGTGGTACTCAAGCTGCAGTATTCAGTAGTGGTATTCAATGCATTGTATAACGTCTTATAGTACGTAGAAAGATGCCAAAATGTTTAAACTTCAAGTGGAACCACAAAATACCAGAAAGTGCTAGAGACTTTTTAGTAAGACCACAGGCCTGTCACGCACGTGTTTCTACTTTGTTTCAAAACGTTTCGATGTCAATTTCCATGACCACGTTCCGGAGGTGTGTGGACAAACGAAAATTGTTGTCAATTTGCTTTTACGACACCATTGGAAGTTTTAAGTCTTTTTCAGGCGACTCACCCTTGTAGGAAAATCGCGCGAGAGAAACAGAAAAACAAATCTGTCATGCCATGACATCACTTCGGTTTTCACTGAGCTCTCGATTGACTTTAGCTCTCGACCAATCATCGCGCGAGAAATCACTCTGTTATCGAAAAAAGGAGATTCAAGTAGCAAAAAGTAACTGGTGGTCGGATATAACTCATAACACAGTTTACAACGTTTTCAAGCTCTACTCGCGTACGTTAAGCTCAGAAAACAATGCAAAAGTGTGATCTTATGATAAGTACAATAGACAGATAATTTGTGTTTGAAAATTCTTTCAGTCAAGGAGCTCTAGACTACTCCTACTTTAGTCTCATAATTCAAACATGAATGACATAATCAGAATCTAAGGTAAATATCAATCTCTTAACGTCTCAGCAAGAATTACATGTATGCATACAAGTAAACTTACAGTTATGAAACCTTTCTGAGATGGCCACGGGTGACTTTTTCTCCTCAAACTTGTCCATGAAGCGTAAATGAGAGAAACGGCCTCAGGAATCATCAAAGCCAGAATAAGCATAAGAAATAATGCTTGCTTGCCTGCCTCTGTAGAACTGTTTTCACTTTTTCCAGTTAGGCTGAAATGTCCGTCGCTACTATTTACAGTTTGATTTAAAGTTCCGTCGTTTCCAGTTTTTCCAACTTCGTTTAAATCTTTGAAATTTTTTCCTAAGACCAGCAAACAAATTCTACTTGCAACAACGCAGCATAACACTAACAAGGAAAGAAATACGGCCACAAACCACTTCAAGATCCAGGGAAGAAAGGAATAACAATGTCTTTTTTCAGCCTTGTTGCTCGGGTCCAAAGTAGGTTCACTTTTGTCTATAGTAAATTCTGATTCACTCTTCTGAAAATAAACTGACTGATGACTTCTATACTGGCTGGCGGTCTCGTCAGACATCTTGCATCTAGGATTAGGCTTGCCTTTCTTCAGCTACATTCACGTATAAAGCACCTCTCTGTTATAAATCAAAGTGTCTTCCCACTTTAAGTTTTGTACGATTTGAACTTAATAACTCAGCTATTTGATTGCGCCTTGCTGAGTAGACACTTACCCCTTTTATTCAATAAATCCCACATTGACGCAAATATGAAAACAGGGACGTTACGTTTCAACAATGGGCCGGGAATGCCACTGAGAACGTCACCAGTGAAAACTTCCCCCCTTCAAAATTTTCCGGGATTATTCCAACTGTATTTAATAATAATTTAAAACATTTCAATCAGAGACCAAATAGTTACGGTAAAATTCACCGCCTTACGGTCTATGTTCTCAAAAAAACCAACAATCTGGTCATTCGACCCCTGTCAGTAGTTGCGCAGAAAAACGGCATGAAAACTAAGAACATAGAAGCCGTTCGAATCGTTGATATAGCTTTCGCTTGTTTTTTTATTGATGACGCTGACTAAGAGTAAAAAAGTGGCTTTTTGTTTCTCAATGAATTCTGCTCTGCAGTTTCCAAACAATAAACAAACCTGAAGGTGTACACTTAGCCTTGTCGTCGCCATGACTCGATGATTTTTGCAGTTTTTATACAGTGTTAATGAACCGTGGCAGTTTCATGACCTTAGGCATGAGTGCTCATTAACATTTTAAAACGTGTTAATGAAATCGACAAAACGGGTGAATACTGGGGCCAACATTAAGCCGCAGTTACACCAGCAAGTTTTCGTCAGAAAGGAAAAGCTTCACTTAAAGGAAATCATGGTACTGTACGTGGAAGACTTGACAAATTTTTAGCCCACCGTCGGAAGGAAAATAAGAAACTTACTCGACGTGTAATTGTGGCTTTACCACATATGAATAAATTTTAAAAAAGGAAGGCTGATTTAATAGCGAAGGAAAACAGTGTCAGAGCCTGCCTATATTGCGAAAGGCCACATTGCCTTCTCCGCTTCAATCTCTTTAATGTCTTACAAATAACGGCTGTGGGTTAAAGATACTCTGCTTTAAAAGAAAATAAAAGGATGAAGTATAGTGCAACATTACATTTTTACATTCTCTTGAGCTAGTATATACATATGTCGAATTATTAAAATTATATTATAACTACATATACTTCATTAGTTTATATATATTATATTAATATATAGTACCACAAGTGAAGAGTAAAACAATATGTTTTCGTCTCTCACCTATATTTAGATCGTGTTAAAAGGCCTTCGTTATAAATATATATTATGGAATTATAACTACATATATATTATAACTACATCTATATTATAACTTTATATATATATTTTAAATATTTTAATCAGTTTATAATTAGGATTAGTCCATTTTAAACCAGATTAAATAAGAAACTGAGATAAAATGTAGTGCGCATGCTATTTCAGTTTAATAATATGTTACAATGAAATCGGGTGCACATTTTTCTGTTTTAATAATTCTACATTCTAGTACTGGATGTCCGATGTTTTCTTTTCTTAGTTTTAAAGCTTTCGTTTTCTTTAATTTTCTTTAGAATAGAATAGAGTCAGAATAATTTATTTAATGTCGGATCTTACGAAGTGTTTGCACAATCTTCCGAGCCAGAGAGGCTCATGATAGAAACGCTCGACAAACTAAAAATACAAAACAAGATAAAATGTGAATTATGCATGTACAAATATGATGTTTTTAAAAAATTAACGTTAGAGTTGAAGACGATGCGATCATGGTAAGTCTTATTTCACGTGTAGAGTTAAAAAGTGTTTTTTTTTTTTTAAAGTAGCTAAGGTTGTTAGCGTCGGATATTCTGGTAATGGACAGTTTATAAGCTTCACGTATACGGCAAACGGCAAACGTCAGATTCAAGTTGAGAATTAAATAGAAAATGAGCAGATAGAAACAGCTCATAACAATTCTTATGGATAAATAATTGCGTGAAACTACTAATTTATGAGTAGAAATAATGAACAGTAAATAACAAGTAAAGGGGAAGCTTGGTCACGTAGTACAATCATTTCGCGTTTGCCATAAGACATCTAGCAGGGTGAGAGATTAGTTGTTTTTGAAACAACGCTTGGTCTGCCTGCAAGTGTAAATTTAAAAGATTTCTTCGGTACCCCGCCATAGCTAAAATAGATGCAGCCCTGACAACATTGAGGCAACAAACAATAGAAAGGAACTTACAACTTTTAGTTGTTTAGGATGGAATTGTTTTGTAGGCCGTATACACTATGCTTTCAGTGTGTACGTGGGCGGATGTCATGTACACATTTCTTTACTATTCTATCCACGTTTTCGTCCGTTGAGGTTAATATGACGTGGCTCATTGTCACTGAATATGAAGTTCATTTCAGTGTAGCTTCTAGTGGATTCTGAGAGCTAAATTGGGAGGAATGTGGCACTTTCAGTTTAGTATGAATTAAGTGGCAGGGTGAAGAGTGTATTAATTAACAATTGAGGCTCAGTATCATATGAAGAATTATGGAGTTCGAAGAGGGTGTTATCCGTCGAGGCCGTAGGCTGAGGCGGATAACAGTCTCCGAGAACTCAATAATTCTTCATATGATACTCAGCCTCATTCATTAATTGTTAAATATTGGGGCAATGGCGCACCAGTAGCGACGGAGCGAATCACAGCCGATCTCAAACCTTTTTTTGGGACGAAAAGCGCATGTTCCAGCCCCCCTAGAGGCTGGCCTTTTGATGCTGAAATAGGTGTGATTTTCATTGGATCCGGAGATTGTCGACAAGCCAGTTGATGTCTTCATTATCAGTAGATTTTTCCGTAGAGACGACCCCTTTCGAGGGTTAATCAGAGGAAAAAGAAACAGTATTTTCCCCAGTTCACGTTTGTTGTAAAATAAATAGCTTGGTGCCTGGTTTGAACGAGTTTGTAGTCTGTGTTGAGAATTGAGGACTTGAGATCATGGTCAACAAATCAGCTAAACTGAGTAAACTCCTTCAGTAGGATGGCTAACTGTTGCTAGAAAAAAGAATTTTTTAGTAAAATGTAGCACGTTCAGCGGCAGCAAGGTTTGGCCCTTACCAAAGATTGATTAAGGCAATTATTATTTTTATTATGAATTATTGATGATGATCTCGATGATTTTGTCACTGCGAAAACATACTAGTGGTTATTTGTAAGATCGCTTTGAAAATTCATCATTGTTTCCGTTCTTAAGTTTGCGGCAGCATCCCCAATATTAAGTAAGGCATTATTTTAGCGTTTTTAGCAGTTTGAGCGCTGTTAACCTTAATATGGTCAAAACACAGTCAGACACATAAACTTGGGTCACTCTTTTCCTTGTCGAATTGGAAACAAGCGATGAAACAACATGCTCCTTACCGACAGCGGGTGGGGCTTACGAAATTTCATTTATTTAAATACCAGTTATTATAATGCCTCGATTTAAAAGATGTAATGATGTTACCGTAATTACTGTTATTATTGTTATTATTATTATAATTATTATTATTATTATTATTTTTGTTGTTATTGTTGTTTTTGTCAGTGTATAAATCAAAATGTATAGTAAAAAAATTGGCAATAAAAGCATTGATTTATTCGTTCGTTCTTTCATTCATTCAGGGTCAACTGTTTTGTGGTTTTTCTCAGGAGGTTTTTGGTATAGGTCAATAATGATTTTGCAATTCACTTTGAGGACAGAAAGTAGACATCTAACAAAGCATATAAACTTGAAGGAATTGAGCATAATTGATGGTTTGATGAATGCGCCTTTGATGAAAAAGGGGTGAAGTATTGAGGTCCTTGGTAAAAAATAATGTCATCCATGCATGTGGCGCCTTCATTGTGTGGTTGGCAAGGGAAACGTGTTGAAGAGTCTGTTTCGAATTTTGCTAGGGTATAATTGGTATATAAATGAACCATTCTTGGGGTGACAGTCAGGAGGAAAAAAACAGGGAGCCCAGGATTATCCTGGCTATTTAGTTATTGTGGTTAAAAGGGGAAAAAAATCTGCGCTCAAGGAGAACGAGAAAATGATTGGTATCTTTTTCAATGTTTTGGTCACGAAACATGCATTCAACGGATATATGTGCTCGTTTTAAAATCATCTTTAATATCACGATCAAGAGTTCTATAGAATTTACTGTTGTTGAGTTATCTTTGGCATCCGTTGATTTTACCACTATTCCTTATCAGCTGTCGTAGATCCTTTACCGTATGTTTCCGTTTTATTTTTTGTGGTAGTGCCCGCAAACACAAGAAGGGGAAGAAATACTCGAGACAAAAAAAACAATATTAAGTTATACCCTAGCAAAATGTTGCCAATTTAAGCAATAAACCTTAAGAAAAAAACTCAGTTACTTTGCGAAGACTCCTTCTCTTTTTCTACACCACGTCATAATTTAACTGAACTCAAATCAGAGCTGGTTTCAATGAATCTAGCTGACGCATGCGACTCCTCTAGAACTTTCATGATTACACCCCCTCACACCAGTCTAAGGGTTCTTGGACTCCCTGGCTCCTTGACGAGAGCCTGTACTTGACGATTTCCTAGACACGATGGAACATGACATACTCAACTTTAAACAAAAACCTGTACTGTAAGTTACAGCGTAACTATAAGCGAATGAAGCACTTTTAAACTATTATTCAGAGCTCGTCAGGCTGGCTAGTGAGGACGATGGAAGGTAGTTTATGCCATCTTGTCAGAGGACGTAACGACATTTTCAAATTGGCGGACAAAGTATTTACAGCCGCAGTTGTTATGCACAATGATTAGCACATTATGAATGGATGCCATAGATAACATAAAGACTCTAATTTTTTTTACAGCGTTTAATAACAATAACAATAACAATTATTTATTTAACCACGTTATCGTTTAAGAGCACAAGTGCTTGTTCAAAATACGAACGTGCATTAAACAGATTAAATCTACAGTTATATTTATAATATCTAGTATAAAAAATATATATATATATTCTATAATCTATGTACACATGAA